TGAAACGCGAGTCGTTAAGCTTTTGTAAATATATATTATTTATTCCTGTTCGATTCGTAAGGTCAAACAACAAACTTGAAACACGAGTCGTTAAGCTTTTGTAAATATATATTTTATTTATTCCTGTTCGATTCGTAAGGTCAAACCATTACACATTGTTCTAAATGAAATATAAGAAACATGTATGAATTTACTGCTTACATGTTAGCACTTCTGTATACATATACGTAAGCGATGTAATATTACATAGAAAAAAACATTTTACGACAACTACAAACGAATTAAAACTTACTCGATAAGATCTTTTATGAGACGATACATGCCCACACGAGGGTTTTACAAGATAATCATCACAGTGATCACATTTTTCTAAAAAATAAAATCGACGCCTCTGTTAAAGTTAATACAAACACTCTAAGGAACAGAAAAAAGACAAACGGTACTTACTGAAGGTATAAAACGACGCTTATGGCGAGGCCATCCTTCTTCGATTGCATGTTTGGATATTGCATCTTCACAAAGGCTCTCTGTTTCGTAAGTGGTTGAGATACACTACACATGCGCTTGAGATGTGACCTTCGTTGCCATCTCGCAAATGTAAATTATAAATTACCATTGAATAGTATGACCTTGAATAATGTGGCGTGGGTAAGATCTGTGCAGTATCCTAGCTTTTAACTCTGTCCTTCTTAGATTTACAAACATTATTTTTATTATTACTTTTATGCGTTTGTTTTACTGGTTGCTAGAGATCGTATTAGGAGAATTTAAACCAAGAAGTTAGGGCAATCAACTGATAAAAGTGCAACGCGCGTTTGATATTGATATTGCAGTAATTGATACCACAAGCCTATCTGCCTATAGTGGTTTAAATTTATTAACTTATGCATTCAAGATGCGATGTGGCACAACAATTTTAGTTGTTTCAGGCTTAAAATAACCGGTTTACTGCCGAAAGTCGCGTATATAGGTAGAAGTGTGCCGTAAGCGTAATATTATTCGAGCTATTTCATGCATCATCACTTTAGGGAATTTCCTTTTCATCTTATGAAGGCGCAAAATATTTCAAAACATCGAGCTTCGCGCAGTATGTATAGCTCTAAGAGGCTTTCTCGGCATGTTTCCATTAAACAGATAGAGATAGAAACAATAGCAGAGGATTTTGCAGCTATGCAATATTAAAGTAATTTTCACACTAAACTGAAAATGAAAAGATTTTATTGAACAACGTCACTTCAAAATAAGATACAAGTTATTATGAAACGAATTCATCTAACAAAGTTAATCTTCTTCATCATTGGCAATCTCACCAAAGCTGTACTCTTTTAAAAGTCTGTTGATGAGAAACTTTCTCTTATCAATAGCTGCTTCCATAGCTTCCTGTGGATCAAAGTCGTCATTTTCTATAAACCCTTTCTTTGTATGCATTATTTTTCTGTGGATGGGATCTTTTTTCAGTTGGTTTATCCACATAAGACGTTGCATATAAATACTTTCCAATTCTTTTTGAAGTTTTGGTAGAATGTTAGAATATGCTTGATTTTCAGCTGTCTGCTCATCCAGACCACTGTTCACAAGGCTTTCCTTCATCTCATCGAAATCTACATTACTTCTTTCCCTTGCTTCTTCTATCAAAGGTATCCAAGGATCAGTTTTCTCTCCAGTTTCAGCCTCATTTTCTATTGACATTGAACTTTCAGATTCATCTGTTGAACTTGTAGAAACATTATCTTCGAAATGCATTCCCTGACTGTCTGAATCTGATTGAGACATTTTTTCCTCATCCCTTAGTGGACAGTATTCTTTTCGTGTCTGCGTAAGTTGAAAGCTCGATTAAATACTTTTCCACAATATCTGCAGCTCATTTCGCCGGCACTGCTTTTTTAGAAATGAGACATTTTATGTAGCAATGTGCATTTGTGGGCAAATGAGCAAGTGTGTTGAAGCAGTTATGAGCATTTGAGCAAGTGCTCATAAGTAATTATGAGCATCAATGAGCATTGCTCATCTGCTCATAAGAGGAATAAAGGTTTAAACTATTGTATATAAATTATACCAAGTTGTTATCATGTATTCATTTATGGGTATTGCTCATTTAAACTCCTCCCCTGCTTTATGATAGCAACTTGGTATAATTTATATACAATAGTTTAAACCTTTATTCGTCTTATGAGCAAGCCATAAGGAAAAAACATACAGACAGCAAGGAATTCATTATGGAAAATTGGAAAAGTTACAAACAACTCTTGTGAACTATGAATGTTGCGAACTATGAATGTAGTTACAAAATGAATGAACGATTAAAAGACATGCCTATGCTTGTGAGGATTTTAAAGTAAACCCTCAAGTGCTTTTAAAATTTTTGTCATAAATATCTGCTAAAGTATGATGTGTTCATATGTAATCAAAAGAGATTTTTGTTGTTTGATTCATGTAGATAATTAGAAAAATATTTAATAAAAATTGTTCATTGTCCAATGTATTCTTATTGTGTGCACTTTGTTCACTATTTTACAAATACCTCCCATTCAAGCTAGTCGAATCATACCGTCTTTCTTTGAATATGTCAAAATGCTTACTAGCGCGAGTGGTTATAAAAGTGAAAGCAGAGCATGTTTGCTTTTATTTGCGAGACAATGGACGTACGTTTTAGAACACCTGCCAACTTTTATGTGTGTGGTCAAAGTCAGTCGGGCAAAAGCTATTTGGTTAGGTCGATGCTTTATAATTTAAATGAACTTTTTTATCCTGTTCCGAATAAAATTATTTACTGTTATGGTGAACGGCAAAGTGAATTTGGTGAAATGGAATCAAAATTCCAAACATTTGCTTCGTCGAAGGATTCCCGGACAACTTATTTGATATTCTGGAAGGTTGTCAAAACTCTTTAGTGGTCGTTGACGATTTGATGTCAGAATGTTCTAGCGATCAACGAATGTCCGATTTATTTACCCGCGGGTCACATCACCGTGGCGTCTCTGTCATGTATCTAACACAAAATTTATTTCCGCCTGGTAAACAATCCCGAACAATCAGCTTAAATTCCCACTACATGATCATTTTTAAAAACCCCAGAGATTCGCTAGGTATCGCAACATTGGCACGGCAGATGTACCCAAAGAAAACGAATTACCTTTTGGAGTCATTTCAAGACGCCACATGCCGCCCTTACGGCTATCTTTTGCTCGATTTGCATCAACTCACATCTGACAATATGCGTGTCAGAACAAATATCTTGCCCGGTGAAAAGCAGATTGTCTATGTACATAAGTGATAAGCATCGACATCGACAATCATTTAAACATTATGTCTAAACGAATTAGGAGCAATCTTCCGTACCTGCAAGTACTTGCAAAATCTAAGCCGAAAATTCGAAAGGTTATCATCGAACATGGACCATCTGATGTCATGTTGTGCATTTGTGAATGCGCAGTTAATGTGTTAAAAGGAACTGTACCGATATCTGCGAGTCAAAACGACGCTTGTTGAGGTATAAGAAACATCTCAGAGCCTTAGCGAACAAGAGAATTTCAAGAGCTAAAAAGAAAAAACTTTTAAATCAAAAAGGAGGCAATCTACTGAGCGCCTTCCTACCGCCGGTTTTGAACGTACTAGGGAGTTTGCTGAAATAATGAAGCATGCCAAGCGAATGATTTTAGTACCTGAAGACGTTTATAATAAATATGAACAAAAGCAAAAATTTGAAGTTTCGCCAATTACGATGAACATGATGCAAAAAGATACTCAACTCTCGCACATCCTTCACCAAGACGGTTTAAGTGACGATCAAAGGCAAAAACTTTTCAACACAAACTTTGAGCAATTCCTTAATTTGAAGAAACAAAAAGATATTCAGATACCCACAGTACGCGTGATGGATACAACCGACGGGGAAGAAAGAAACACGGTAATAAACAACGAAGTGCGTACATTAGCTGACTCCGTCATTGTACAAAGTGTGCCGAAGACGATGCGTGAACGTGCAACAGCAATACTGCAGCGTCTCAAAACAAAACCAGATATAATAACTTGGGATGATTCAGGACAAGTCAAACTTGACGGTGTTATTATTCCTCAATCAAATATATCAGACCTCATCAGCGACGCCGTAAGAGGGAGAAAGAATTTCAATCCTACAGGTTCTAGAGAATTCTTTCGCGTGTTATCAAAATAAACATTCCTCGTGATTTGGTTCGGAACGATGTAAGATGGGAAGAAGCTCAAATGGAAACTTCGCCCAATGAAGAAGACGGAATAGCCTACCACCGAGGCTCAAGAACGAAAATGACAACACCTAAAGCCAGCCCTACACTAAAGAAAACTCGCTTACGTTGGATAGACTATTAAAATTTGACATGTAAAGATTTGTTTTGTTTAAATAAATAGAGCAGTTGATATCAATTTCCTGATTGTTATCATTAGAATATGCAAATAGAAAACACAGGCAATTAGCTTACACAAAGAAATTTTATTGATAATAAACGGCTCAAGCTTTTACAACAAATTTTATACTTGACTGAATGCTATCGTTTAGGGTTACACTAGTTTCTATATGAAAATGTCTGCTAACGAAACTTGATACCTTGTTATCGTTCTCAACAGTATTACCATCAAACATGTTTACAATCTTATTCATGCTATATCCTCGCACTCTATGGCTGAGGTAAAATATACAATATTGTCCACATACATCCGTCCAGATACTTTGCAATTGACGTTTATTAAACCCCAATCATAATGTTTCAAATAATCTCTAAAGAACTTATGATATCGCCCTGGTGGTTGTCCATAGCTATCGAAGAATTCGGCTTTTTCTTCTGAAGGAAAGTAAAAGGCAACCCAATGGGTCCCCGGTTTTCCGCTTACATCCGTGTTTGCGATAAATCCTTTTGGGTAGCTTTCGATTTCTTTAGGCAAACGGTCGGCTGGAAAAACACCGAGAAATTTTTTCCTGTTACCGGATCGGATTTCAAAGCGGTCCATATTTGTGAGGTGTTCATTTATCCAATGTAGTAATAAACGACATTTCTCTCTCCATCGATTTGTATTATATTTTCAAACTCTCCATAGCACACAAGGCTAACTGCATGAGTTGGCGGTGTCGAGAATTGTAAGTCAATGGCCAGGTTTCCTTTTTGCACAGTGTTAAAATGTTCGGACGCGCTGCACATATCGGGGGTAAAGTCCGCGCCGAACAGGGCAAAACCGTTTGGGAAATCTTCACGCGTAATGCCATTGCCTGTGTCGTAATACATTTTCCCAGTGCCTGAAAACTGCGATAGAAATGCTTCTATAAATCTTGGATTCGCGCCAAAGGACAAATTGATTGGTTTAAACGGTACAGATTCACCATTTATTGAAATGCCTAACGATGAAATGTTGAAATGTTGGAAATTGAATGGGTTCTTTTATAAGCTCCGTTGAATGACGCACTTTCAACAAGACCGAAAACAAACGATTTAGGCACTAAACCATTGAAAAGGTTATCTTTTTGCAGTGAAGGGTTTCCAGAAGGAATAATAAAACTTTTACAGTCCACACGTCTTACGGGGTAAATGGCTGGACCTTTTTTCAGGGCAACTTCGTGAGCCAGAGATATACTAGGATTCACTTTGACTTTACGAACTTTAAGGTATGCATCTATCAGTTTCACTCTAAAGGCTGCACCGTCCACCGATGACATTAAGACAAATTCGTCACTGGTACGGTTCATGACCACTTTCAAATCAACATAGCTAAGTAAGTAACGTTCACCAAAGAAAACATCGCAAAAGATAGGACCTGCCATATCAACAATTTTACTTCCCATGATAAACTTATTTCTTGTCTTCAAACCCCTGTTTGGACTTGCGTGAGCAGGATCTGCATTATCCATCTGACCTGCAGTATCTTTGTAAAATAACGCAGCGGTGAGCTGGGATTGTTTGGCTGACGGACCATAATTTAAAAGTGTTCCGAGATATGCACGATATGGATATGTTCCTGTTGCTTGTGTAACTAACTTTCCTTTTAGAAACACGTCAACTTGCTTGAACAAACTGTGCAAGAAATTGTTTACAGGTCCAACTTTAGTGTCATCATCGATATCCCCACCATCGGCTTTTGTTACTTTCGCTCTAGCTACCAATATTGTCTTAGACATGTCAACATAATCTTCAGTGCCGGGCGCTAAAATGTAATTGGTCCATTTTCAGATACGCTGGACACAGGTTGATGATCAATCCAATGCCCCTTTCTAAACTGACTTGTGTTGGTGGGACAGAAAATAAATCAAGTTCGGTTTTGTACATTCTGCAGATTTTGGATGAACGAAATCCATATTTAGCCGAAAATGTCCTCTGCTTCTTTAGCTGCTTTACGTCTCTTGGCTGAACTGTGAATGGCAATGGAAGTCGTCGCCTTTCTCTTTTAGCTGGTTTTCTTGACCGTTTCTTTGAAGACTTTCCTCTTCCTGTTTGAGCAAACTGCTGCATTCTGTTTACAGCCATTTTCCCACATCTTTAGCAGCCTGATTTACTCGCGATTTTGCAGACTCTTTCACACTTTTCCCCGAGATAACATCGCCTAAAACGTTTGCTCCTGTGTTAAGAGCAATTTTACCCAGAGCTTTTGCACCGCTTTTTGCCAGAGGTATTACAGCCCTAGCTAAACTGCGAAATAAGCCACCAAGACCATAACCCACTTGCCCATATCCTCTTTGCCAAGGTGCTCCTTTAAACACTGGTGATGAACCGTATCCTCGTTGTTGGTTGAGATAATATTGAACATAACGATTTGTTAGAGTCATATTTCTTATGTAAAATAAGACGAAGCTTGCTTTCTGAAATGAAGTGTCACTATCGACTTCCCTCGTTCAAATGCGATGGGGTTTCCTAACTCGTCCCTTAAGAGAATTTCGATGTCCTCAAAAGATTTTGTTTGCACAGGTATGTATTGGATATTAGTGAATGTTCTTGAAACAATGTCTCCATATTTTCCTTGAATGGTAACTGCCTTTAGTAATTTTACATTGACGTCTCCAACAACTTGCGGTTGTACAATGTTGCAATATACATACATCATGACGGATCCGTGCAAATCAGAAGCATAAGGGCTTTCGGTTGTTTTTAAAATCTCTACGTCTTTTCCGCCAAAACCGAGTAAGACCGACATTCGTTGATTAAATGATATTTTGTAACCCTGTCTTACATGCACTTTAATTTTTTCTGTTCGGGGGTCAAAGCTCAATTTGATATTGTCTTTTACTTCTTTGTCAAGAGTCTCATTAACTGAACTAAATAACTCCGAGCCTTGATCCGTTTGAATGTGTGTTGGTTTACGTCCTGATGACAAAATCTTTTTAAAAGCTTCTACCAGCGACGATCCTGTTTTCTTTTTTAATGGAACAGCCCATGCATATTTGGAAAAAACATCAATACAGATAAGAAGATAGCGATAACCATCATTATACTTTTGCAAAGATTGCATGTCTGCAAGATCCAATTGCCACTGGTCGTCAATACCACTCACTACGACACGATTTCTTTCAAACTTTCTTCGAATAGGTTTATGCAAAGAGTATGCGTCTTGTTGCATGAGCCATTCTTTAATTCTTTCACGACTAATGTCATATATTCCTTCTGCCTTTACATCGCGGTACAAACGTTCAACACCTCCGTAGCTTCCTGGGCGTTTTGGATTGAAGTATACACCGGCTAAGTACCGGTCAACGTTACTCATGACAATGTTCTCGTGATAATAATTTTGCAATTAGATGTCAATTTCTTTTAACTACTCATTATCGATGGGTTCAATGTTTTCAGTTACAGGCAGTGTTTCTTCTATCGCATTATCTGTTGGAAGTTTAATTGCGGCGGGTCCATAATTTTTAACAGTTTTACTTGTGTATCCTGCTTGCAAATGACCCTCAAGATTGAGATCGTTGCGTCCGAAACTTATACCCAAGCGAAACATTTTCTGACGATTATGATTTTTATCCCTTTTTGCATTTCTATTTTCACGTTTGCTGCTACCGATCCCCATTTTCACAATGACATGGTCATAAAACAACTGAAGACAAAATGCAATAACATTGAAATTTATATTTTATTTTTTTGTCAAAGCAATTACACAGTTGATCTGTATTTCAGTTTACAACTACAATCAGCATAGTCAAAGAGATGTTGATAAAAAGGAGGACGTTTTGTCTCCGTGTACATTAACATTAGTTCTACCCAAGTAACACTAAACAGTTTGTCAAAATATGTCTTGTGAGAGTTCGAAGGTCCACTGTACTTTAGAAACTTAAAGGCTTCACATATTCCATTCCAGACATGTTCGCGATTGATTGTTTCGACTGCACGAGCTGCAAAATTGAACCACCGATCTTCCTCAGCCATCATTTCTAAAACGTTTTGATACTCCGTCCAAGGGTCTGCTTTACTTTCATCCTTTTCAGCTCTTCGTAGCTCTTGAATCTTTTTTACTTATAAAATCGACGAAAATCAAATTGATAAGATCGCTGTGACTAACTTCTTCAAACTCAACAGTGTCTGCATATATCTGATTAAACATGTGTGCCATATTTTTTGTTTTTTTTCAAAACGTCCAAAAGCAATGCAACAATAAACAACGCAAATAACATTTTTTAAGACGATAGTTCGACTATATAGTTTGAAGAATGAATACACAATGACATAGATCCGGTTTATTAACCAATAAAACATAAGGCGGATCTAATGTTACTTTGTCAATAGCATGCAACTTCCAGCTTTGTCGTATTTCCGATTTTCACGCCATCCAATGCCATGCCATGTTTATTAAACCCTATTTCCGGTTGACATGCGCGCGCACCGATCAACTTCAGGGGACTGGAAACTAACTGGCACGGGTAAGAGCTCCGTGACAAAAGTGTGACAAAGCTGCATGATATCTACTCACGCAATACGAAAAAAAAACCTCGGATGTCGGAAATCATCTTGGTAAGAGGTTTCGGAACGCGCCTACTGCTGCTAGATGTCCGAGTGTGAATTCCTTGTTGCTGAAGGACTTTTAGCTATGATTTCTTTAGTGCTTGGGGCATCGTAGCTGTTATATGGCAGCGAAATCCTACAATCCTGCAAATATATTTCAATGGACAAAAAATCTGTAGCCATAAGGCGCCATACTATTATTTACTTTATCATAAACAAATGTTTGGGGCTTTTCAGTTTATGATCATTGATCATTCAATCATTGGACAGTTATACTACACATTGTTTAAGATTTGAGAAAACTAACATTGATTACATGAGAAGCTGTTTACCATAACCTGTGATTTTGAGTCTCTTCTAATCCATGAAGCTTTTTATTTTGACAATTTGCCTGGAATGGTATTAAACCTGAGTATTTCACATACATGAAATGTTGTCCCATATCACATATTGTCACCTTTTCTAACTGAATGCCTCATTTAGTGATGTCAAGGTGTGTTGATCTACGGCTCATACCAGATTGTTGGCCATAAATTACAAAGGGCTATTGATGTATGAAAAGCATTTTCTGTAAAGTAAAAATGTCTTTCTATGTATGCAGATAAACCTTGAAATTTGGAAAAACAGCAAAGTATTTTTCATGATCACTAGGTAATTTTTCTGATGATCATTATAATTTCTTAACTAAATTATTTCAGATTTACATTTAAACGAGCTTTGATCATATGAAAAGATATTTATCATAACCAGTAAGCATGACACATGAACTAATTTTAACATTCATGTAATTATATAATTAAAGACATGTTGGTTACATTCTGTTTGTATTTGCAAATACAATGCTACTAGTGATTGCTATATAGCACACCTTGCATATACTTACAGAAGATTATAGTCTAGTGAAATGCCTAATAAACATTATGGCATTAAGCTGTCCTAAATTGCAAATATCCACTCTCACAATTTTTGCTTAATCTTTGGCAGAAAAAAATTTTGAGTTTTTTCTCAAAAGGTGAATTTGCTGGCACTGTATATGGAAATGGGTAATGGGTTACAATAAACTTGCATGGTTTGAAGTCTGAGCTTTTCTATATCTATGAACTGTCCCTTGTAGTACCAAATTTCTAACTTAACTCATTACATAGAGGTTTGAATGGGGTTCTTAGGGGAGTCTATGCCTGACAACCTGGTAGAAATTTTTAAAGACAATGTCTTTTTTGGAATAGCATTAATGTAAAATAAATTTTACGTTCGTAGACATGCTAATGAGCCATATATTTGGCATGATAATGAGCCTAAATATTTGGCAAAACATTCAAGTATTGTTCACTTCATTTATTTTTTTGAAAAAAACGTAAACAAAATATGTTGTTTTTACGTAAAAACGATGGCCACAAAATACATTTTGTATTGCTCTAAAACGCTGGAAATGGCATTTTGAAGACTCTGAATTTCAAAATTTCTCAGGAGAGAATGCCTCAGACTCCCCCAGGTGCGGAGCGCCTACGACGTTTTATGACTGATGTTTGAAATAAACAAAAATTGTAATCATTAAATTTGATAAATAATTTTTGAACTATAATCATCAGTCGCGTGACTGATTGAACATACCCTAGACCCGCTCCTGGATTTATTTACCGATATTTCGTAATTTTTAGTGCGTACTTGCCCACCGCGAATTATTGCAGCGACGTTTTTTAGCACATTTTTATAAAAGATATATGATAGTAAATATTCGATCTTCAATTGTGTTATGTTATTATTCAAATTCAAACATGCTTCATGATGATATTTTCGTCCTAATTATTACTCTAGAAGTAATTACTGGGCAAATGCAGAAAAATTTAAAATATAAGACAACAAATATTACACTGGAGACGTGTATACCACAAAATATATTTTCGTCCCCCCCCCCAATCTTCTCACTCTTAGTTGTGGGAAACGTCCCTGATCTGATTATCTTTATTACCAGTGGCCTAACCAACCAGCTTGCTTATATGGTATTGCTATGCCCATTTTTTTGTGTATATTTTGTGAAGCAATAATCTGTAAAAGATGAATAATACTAAATTGATAATGTGATAATGTTCTCAAATGTACGTACCAATACTATGCCTTGCATCAAGGATTACTGATTACTGATTTACTCTGTGCTTTGTACATGAGCTAATTTTTTTATTATATCAGCTATACAGTGGTTTATGCGTAGAAACAATCGTCATATTACTTGGAGTATACTGTACACATGTATATGATACATATACTAATATTACTAATTACATAGGCAAGGGTGATGATTGATTTTGGTGGATGTATTTACACATGCACATCCTGTAAACTGTTTTATGGGAATGGTTGTGTGTTAATTTTACCAAGACAATTATTGCCCTATTAGTATTTTTGTGTCAAAACATCAAAATTGACATAAGGGCCGCATGGGGCATATAATTCTTACTCTCCATTCGTATGTTTTTCTCTATTTCCAATCCCTTGTCATTTGTTTTATGAAGAATCCTTATGGTGGGCAATAAAAGTCAGGATTACTTGTTGTATTATGCTTTTCGGAGTCAATACATAAAATGTGGTTGGATTGACAGCACCGTATACATTTTAAGTTTTCTTCAAAAACAGGTGCTCTGCTTTGGGCGCATTTGGAAAGTTGTTGTGAGTGTTGTTTTAGACAAGTTCCTGTTACTTTGTTGTAAGTTCTATCCCTCATCTCATATGGATCACAGCCATCACTCATTGACTTTCCTTGCACAAACTGTAATGCATACTAGCAAACAAAAACACAACAAATTGAAATCAGGTTGAAGAGTATGCAGCGGTGAGGAGA